CAAAAGTTCATGGAAATATTCCATTGTCTTTTAATTACATTTTCCACAAACTTTTGAAGACCCTCATAATTCTAAAAACATTTTCCATGAAAACCTTATGAAAAGCAGAACATTGTCTGATACAGTTCTAGAAGATGAGCTCCTCAGGTAGGAAAGCAATCAAAATATGAATGGGGAAATGCTATCCCTTCAAAGTAGAGTCAACCTTAATGATATGGATGGAGCAAAGTTTTCAAGACCTTCCTTTGCTTATGGGGCATGACTCAAAATGAGTAGAAACAGCTGCAAATATCCATTAATAGTCAGAATGTGGAATGTACTAAATATGAATCTAGGAAAACTGGAAGTCATCAAAGATGAAATGGAATACATAAAAATGATATCCTAGGCATTAGAGAACTGAAATGGATGGATATTGAATATTTTGAATGGAAAAAATCAATATGGTTTGCTATGCTGAGAATGACAAACTGAAGAATTGCTTCACATTCATCATCAAAAAGAACATTTCAAGATCTGTCTTTAAATCCAGTGCTATCTGTGATAGGATCATATCTACACACCTTGAAGTCCTGATGTGGTGATGTAGGATAACTAGGCTGCTAACCCCAAGGTTGGTGGTTCAAACACATCAGTCACTCCTTGGAAACCCTAAAGAGGGCCGCTATGAGTCTGAACTGACTCAATGACACTTAACAACTTTAGAATATAAGTCAATATGATTATCATTAAAATTTACACACCAATTACTAATGCCAAAGATGAAGAAATTAATTTTTTTATCAATCTTGCAGACCTGCAAAAAAAAATTTTTTTTTTGATAAATTTTTTTTTTTATCAAACTTGCAATCAATGTACATTATAAATTCTGGTGACTGAAATGCAAAAGTTGGAGGCAAAGAAGAACAGTAATTGGAAAATATGACCTTGGTGATAGAAATGACACTGGAGATCACATGGTACCATTTTTTTAAGACCCCAATGGCTTATTTGGAGCCCTGGTGTGGCTCTGTGGGTTATTGCACCAGACTGCAAAGCCATTTGAACTGAAAGGTTGGTGACTCAAGCTCACCAGCTGCTCCTCGGAAACCCTGGACTTGATGGCACTTCACAACAACAACAAACAGCTTATTTATTGCAAATACCATTTTCAATAATATTAACCATAACTATACAAATGGACCACACTAGATAGAATATACAAGAATCAAATCAAGTACATTTATGAAAGAGATGATGGAAAAGCTCAATATTATCAGAACAAAGTCTTCATAGAGAGTATCAATTGCTTATATGCAAGTTCAAGTTGGATCTGAAGAAAATTGAAACAAGCTCATGAGACCCAACTATAACCTTGAGTATATCCGACCTTATTTTAGAGATCATTTCAAGAGCATATTTGACTTACTGAACACTAATGACCAGTAACCAAAAGAGTTGTAGGGCGAGATCAAGGACATTGCACATGAAGAAAGTAAAAGGTCATTAAATTTACAGGAAGAAAGAAAAGACTAAACTTGTCAAAAGATAACTACTCTTGAATGTAGAGTAGCTAAAGCAAATGGAAGAAATGATGAAGTAAAAAAGCTGAACAAAAACTTCAAAGGGCAGCTTGAGAAGACAAAATAAAGTATTACAATGAAATGTGCAAAGATGTGGAGTTAGAAACCAAAAAGAAAGAACCTTCTCAGCATTTGTTAAGATGAAAACATTGAAATAAAAGTCCAGGCTTTGAATTGCAATAGTGAAAGCCTCTAGCGTAGTGGATTATGAGCTGAGCTTCTAAATGTAAAGTCAACAGTTTGAATCTACCAGCGGTTCTGTGGAAGAAATATGAGGCTTCTGTTCCTGTAAAGAATTACAAGCCTTGGAAACCCTATAGAGATTCACTATGAGTTGAACCGACTCCACGGCATATAACAATTAACAACCAAATTGGCAGCATATTGAATGACACAAGAAGCACAAAAGAAGATGGAAAGAATACATTGTCACTATACCAAAATGAATAGTTGATGTTCAACCACTTCAGGAGCTACCATCTGATCAAGAATTGATGGTATTAAAGAACACAGTCCAAGCTATAATGAAGGCATTGGTGAAGAAAGCAGTTCCAGAAAATGATAGGATAACAATTAAAATATTTCAACAAACTGATGCAACACTGGAATTGCTCATTTGTCTATGCCAAGAAATTAAGAAGATAGCTACCTGGCTAACTGACTGGAAGAGCTCTGTGTTTGTGCTCATTCCAAAGAAAGATAATCCAACAGAATGCAGAAATTATGGAACAATATTAATATAACATGCAAATAAAATTTTGCTGAATGTAGTTCAGAAATGGCTGCAGCAGTACATCAACAGGGAACTGCCAGAGATTCAAGTCATAATCAGAATACGACATAGAACAAGGAATATTGCTGCTAATACCAGATGGATCTTGACTGAAAACAGACAATACCAGAAAGATGTTCAACTATGTTTTATTGATTATCTGACTGTGTGGACCATAACAAAATATGGATAATATTATGATGAATGGGAATTTCAGAAGACTTAAATTGTGCTCCTGTGGAACCTGTACATAGACCAAGAAGCAGTTGTTTGTACAGAACAAGTGGATATTGATTGGTTTAAATCAGAAAACCTGTATGCTAGTTACATTGCTTCACCAGATTTATTCAGACTGTATGCTGAGCAGATACTCCAAGAAGATGAGTTATATGAAGAGAGAATGCGACATCAGGATTGGAGAAAAGCTCATTACCAACCTGCGAAAGAACGATGACACAGACTTGAAGCACTTACTAATGAATATCAAAGACTACAGCCTTCAGTATGGATTATGCATCAACATAAAGAAAACACAAATTCTTATCAATAAGCAACATCAGGATCAACCCAGAAAAGACAGATGTTGTCAAGAGTTTAAGTTTACTTGCATCCATAATTAATATCCACAGAAACAATTGTGAAGAAATCAAATGATGTATTGCTTTGGGCAAATCGGCTGCAAAAGACTTAAGTATTAAAAAGCAAACATGTCACTTTGAGGACTACAGTGCACCTCACTGAAGCCATGGTATTTCAAGAACCTCATATGTGTGTGAAAGCTGGACAATGAATATGGAGGACTAAAAACAATTGATTCATTTAAATTATGGTTTTGAAGAATATTGAATATACCATGAAATGCCAAGCAAATGAACAAATCTGTGTTGGAATAGTATAGCCAGAATGCCCTTTCAAAGTGAGGATAACAAGACTTTCGCTCATGCCCTTTACATCTTGCATGGGAAAGTAAAGGGTCAGTGAAAAAGAGGAAGACTCTCAGTGAGATAGATTGATACAACGGTTGCAAACATGGGCTCAAGTATCAACTACTGTGAGCCTGGCGCAGGATTTGCTGTGTATAGGAACCGGCTACGTGGCCCCTAATAACAACATTGTTTTATAAATGATCTCGTTTGACCATTGTTGTCATTATTGTTGTCAAGCATTGATAAGTTGGTTCTGACTCATAGCGACCCTGTATAGGGTTTCCAAGGCTTTAAATCTTGGCAGGAGCAGAAAGCCTCATCTTTCTCCCTCAGAGCAGTTGGCAGACTCGAATTGTGGACCTTGTGGTTCCCAGTCCAGTGACTGTGGTATAGAGCCACCACCCTTCCTTGTTTGACTATAGGCCTTCTAACAGGTGACCTTTCTTGTCCAGATGAAATTGAATTATCTCAGAAGCATGGTTCTATTATTTTCAAATTCCTTCATATACATGATAGAGAATCTTATGAAATTGCTGTAGCTTACTGAACTAGTATAGGAGCAAAATGTGTATTTGTTTATGTGTGTGTATAATTTTCATTAGGGAGATATGGGTCTTTGCTTAGTCCTTTCTACCAATAGAAAAACTAGGCATATTTTGAAGTTAGTAAAATGCTTTAAGAGTTTCTCTCACATTGTCTCTAATAAAAGGGAAATTATGTTTAAATAAAATATATATCACTGTTTATGTACAAAGTAGCAGACATATTTTAATTAGTAACTAAACTTATTAACAGCAATAGAAATGAAATATATTTTACATTTAAATAAAAAAAAGGAATATAATAAATGTAGTTCATACTTAGCAAGTTAAATTTTAATCCTAAATAAATGTGTAGAATTATAATACCCTATTCTCTTCCCTTTTGATTTATGGCTATTAAGACAGGGTTTTGATTTCAAATACTGATAGTATATTGTTAAGAAAATATTACTCTAAGAATTTATGTTGAGGAATCAGAATATGTTAAGTAGCTCAGAATCCAAAATTATTTTGTACTCTTTATAACACTATGGAGACCTGGTATGGCACCATAGGATAAGCACTGGATTGAGAACTACAAGGTCAGTGGTTCAAATCCACCAGTTACTCTTCAGAAACCCTGTACAGGGTCACTGTGAGTTGGGATCTACTCAGCAGAACTTAACAACATAATACTATGGTAAGTCTTTATTAACTAAATACAAAGACAATATTAATTCTAGGCTTTTATATTTAATCCAGTCATACAAGTACTAAATAAGAGTTGTTTTCTTTTCCTTTCCTGTTTATCTAAGGGTAAGATGAAGAGGGAACAAGAGTGGTTAGATAGGAGAAATGTGTGCTTTGTAATGATTTGTATCTCTGCTAAAAAAAAAAAAAGGAATTATATAAAAACCAATAGGATAATATGGAAATTATGAATGGAGGTATGTTTCAAATAATGTTATAAGAAATAAACCTGGAAAATCACTATCATTAATCACTGTCTTTTTCCATATATATATAGTCTTGATGTGGTGTGTCTTTCTCCATATATATATAGTCTTGATGTGGTGCTGTGGCTTAATACACTAGACTGCAAAGTCGGTTTAAACCTCAAGTTTGGTGGTTCAAGCTCACCAGTTGCTCCTCAGAAATCCTGCATACAGTTCCTATGGGTCGGAACTGACTCCATGACACTTAACAACAGTTAAGGAACATTGCCTAGGGAAAGTATTGTTTATATTTGTTTAAAATTACTTCCTAATTCTGAATACCCTAGAATTAGAGTTGAAATAAATAGATTTAAATCAATAAACTTTGTATTCACGTTCCTATTCAAATATTAATTTTGTTCTTATCATTATAGCGGTTTTCATATATTCCTTTTTAAAAGTTTAAATGTTTTATCATTTAACATTCATTTAATTATCTCCCCCGACACCAAAACCACTCCTTGATAATAATCTTTCTTAAAACTAACATCGACATCGCACAAGTTTTTGGAATGCTTTCTTAAAATCTTCATTAAAGATTGTATAGATTAGTGGATTTATAAGGGAATTGAGATATCCAAGCCATGTCAAAAAATTGGACATTTCTTCAGAAATTTTACATTTTTCACAGACATTAACAACCAATTCTTTTACAAAAAAAGGAAGCCAACATATTACAAATGCACCCAAGATTAATCCCAGGGTAGTGGCTGCTTTGCGTTCTCTCGTGCCTGAGATCTTTTGCCGTCTCCAAGATTTTTCATGCTTGAATTCAGACCTAGTGCTTTTCACTGTGCTATTAATTTTATCGAAGTCCGTTGATGGCTCAGATAAAGACTTTTCTAGCATGTAAGGTGTGGAGACCAGTCTAGTGCTTTTCTCACCACTCTCCAAGAGGATCTGGCCATTTAGCTCCTCTTTTGCAATTCTACTTGCTTGCCTCTTGTGGTATAGTGTCTTTGCTGCTCTATATATTTTATAGTACAGGATCAGAATCAATGCTAGTGGGATGTAGAAAGCCCCAAATGTTGAATAAATAGTGGAAACAATATGGTCGTGCTTGATGATGCACTCATCATCTCGGCTAGTTCCTTGGTGCCTCCAGAACAGAGGTGGCATTGAGATCAAGATAGATATAATCCAAACTACTGTAATCATGATGCCAGCATGCTTGGGAGTCCTCTTTCGGGCATACTCGACAGCATCTGTGATTGCCCGATACCGATCCAAAGCTATAGCAGAGAGATGCAGAATGGAGCATGTGCAACAGGTGATGTCAACACTCAGCCAAATGTCACAGACCACTTGTCCCATAATCCAACTCTCTCTTACAATATACACAATGCTAAAGGGCATCACTAGGACAGCTACAAGAAAATCTGTGACTGCAAGGGAACAAATTAAATAATTGGCTGGGTGGTGCAGCTTCCGGGTCACAATAATTGCAGCAATCACAAGAGAGTTGATAGTCGTTGTCATCAGTGCCAATCCAGAGAGAGTGAGGGACACCAGTATTTTGGATGGAATTCTGTTTAGCAGTTCTTCTGAGGTCAGATTTTGATCAGATGAATTTAAGAAATCCATTGTTATTTGTTTTAAGGATTTTTATACCTGAGAAATGGATACCTGTAACAAAGGAGGAAAAATAAAGTTCAGAGAAGGTTTTAAAGTATTTTTTCCCTTTTAGAATAATGTATATACACACACACATACATGCACACACACATACACACATATATATTCCCCAGGATTGAAAAAATGGAGTTCAGATTATATGTTTTATTTTTCTTTTCATTTCAATGAAAAATTCAGTGAGGACAGTAATAAGCAATAATTTTCAAAACATTTATTAATCAGCTACAACAACTTTTATGAATAAAGCAGCCTAACATCTCTACCATTATAAAATGACTTGTAACTGCAATACTTAAAGTATGTTTACAGTAACATTAAAAATGATAAACCATTTTTACTTAATTCAAAGTTACAGTAACAATATTATCATAAGGCTCATGGAGAACAAGGAACTTGTAGCATGTTTTTACTCTAGGATGCTGTTGGTGCTGTTAGCTATTGAGTTGGTTCCAACTCATAAAAACCCTTTATAGGACTTCGAAGGCTGTATGCTTTCTCCCATGGAGTGACTAGTAGATTGAAACTTCTGACTGAGCAGTTAGCAGCCCAACATGTAACCCCCTATGCTACTAGGGTGTCTTTTATGACAGAATGGAGAAATTATAAAAAAGGAAACAATTAAAAGATACTTTTGAGTAGGTTTCTAGTATCCCATGATCATTTAACAAAATTAGAAAAATGTCAAGGAGTGTTTAGTAGTCTTGGTGGATTAGAAATTTAGTTTACAAAGGTAAACTAAGATAACTGTGTATCAAATAATCATTCACCACTGCCCATAATAAGAAGATATGACCTAATAACATACCATGGAAATTGCCCATAAGTAGAGCTGAGTACATAATGACAGTTTCCAAGTCACATTGTAATGATCATATGACACTACCTCTAAAAATGGACTCTCTATATACATGGCTTAAGGAACTCTGGTAGTGTAGTGGTTATGAATCGGGCTGTGAACCATAAGGTCAGCAGTTCGAAACTACCAGCGGTTCCGCGGGAGAAAGAGGAGGCGTTCTGCTCCCGTAAAGATTTACAACCTCGGAAACCCTGTGCAGGGTCGCTATGAGTCGGAACCGACTCCACGGCACTTAGCGACAACAACAAATACATGGCTTACCATGTTTTGTTTTATTTCATGTTATTATTTAATTAAAAATTAGAGAACAGCAATTAAGTCTGATGAAATTTGATTAATAATATTTATAAGATATTGTTTTCTTATATGAATCCTCCTCTAATAATTTTTTAGCAGCTTTTTCTTAGAAAAAGACAAAAGAGAAGATGGAAGCCTAAGACTCTACAACAAACAACAAAGAAGTAATGGCCCTTGTAGTTAAGTGCTGTCGACTTGGTTCCAACTCATAGTGACCCTATAAAAGTTGTCCAAGGAGTGGTTGGTGAGTGACCCACTGACCGTGTAGTTCAAACTGACCTTGAGGTCCGGTGCACACCAGTAATGGCTATTACTTCCATATTTATCAGATTACTTTTACTTTGGAGTAGTTATGGTTCATTTGTTGGAACTTATAAAATAATAAACATACTAAATATGTGTATACACACACACATGAGAAAGCTTCAGAAAGGTCATGGAAAATGGAATTTAAAGATAATAAAATTGAAACAAGTAGATATATGCACACCAATGTTCACTGCAGCATTATTATTCACAATAGTAAAACAATGGAGACAGACTAAATGTCCAGCAATGGAAGAGTTGATAAACTTTGGTGCATATACATAATGGAGGCAACCAAGAGCTGAACAGAAAATTTCAAAGATCAGCTCAAGAAGATAAAATCAGGTACTATAATAAAATATGCAAATATTTGGAACTAGAAAACCAAAAGGGAAGAACACAGTCAGCATTTCTCAAGCTGGGG